AAAAGTAAAAAGTGAAAATTTTAACCAATGGCTGCGTTCAGTAGACTCAGTAGTTTTGCAACCGTTCGTCGCGCTGATTGGTTTATACTTTTAGTTTTAAAAGAATAGTCTAATCTGAGCGAAGAATCATAAAACAGTTGCAAAACTGTTGAGTCTGCTGAACGCAGCCATTGAAGTTAATGAAGAAATTTTTCACTTTTCACTTTTCATCTTAGGAAAAAAGGGGAAGGCTCTGATTGCACACATTGCATATTGTACACATGTGTCGCTAATTGGCCAATTTAAAAATAAAATAATCTCATTGGCAAAACAGTGAAAAATTACTAGGTACCAGTTGATATGAGTGGTGTGTACAATCAGAACTGTAGGCAAACGGGATCCTCCCAGCGTCGTATCACGTAATGGATCGTGATATTCCTTATATGTTTGAATTATTTGATTCTTCGGGCGAAGAACACGTAATTGTACCGCCACTATCAGAACCACCAATAATAGTTGAAAATAACGATGGTAATATATAATTTAATGGCAAATATTATGATTATGACTTATAAATATTATGATTATAACTTATAATAAATGATTTATTATTTGAATGATTTTCTAAATGGATAGGGCAAAACAGCATACAAAATATTTAATATTATATATATCTGGGCAATATATATTTGGATTTCAAAACGTTGCTTTTGAAGAAAATTTTACTAAAAAGCTGTAGTTTATGTTACTGTGTACCTAGTGAAAAATGATAATAGAACCCTTCGAATCGACATTGATTTGATGATTATATGGCGTCAATTCGATTCCATTATCATTTCTCGCTGAGTATAACTTTTTAATAAAATTTTCTTCGAAAGCAACATTTTGGAGCATAATCCAGGTAACGGAGATTTACGAATAATTTATTAATATAATTATTTTGTTTATGTACTTAGCCATTTTCTTGTTCAATCTTTATTGTAGTCTCTGTTAAGATTTAACACGACACTATTAATTTAATTAAAAATTATCGTTGCTTCCGATGAACTCTCTTAGCTTGGCACGTACAAAATTGAAAAAAAAGAAAAAGGTTAAAAATCCTCACATGCGGGCTGCCATATTGCACTACACCGTCAAAGCCCGTCTACAATACACGGAGTAAGAAGAGTAAGAAATTGACCAATCACAGTCGAATGTGAGAAGAATAATCGACTGTGATTGGTCAATTTCTTACTCTTACTTCTTACTCCGTGTATTGTAGACGACGCCTTACCCCAGATCTACAATAGGTGTTTTAAGCTTTAAGCCGTAAGAAATTGACCAATTACAATCGAATCCGAAAAGAATGAGCGACTGTGATTCGCCCATTTCTTATGGTTTAAGGCTTAAAACCCTATTGTAGATCCGGAGTAACACTTGCTTAATGCGCGGTCTACAATGACAGTAGCAGTAGTGGATTAGGTTGTAAGAGTAAGAAATTGACCAACCACAGTCGAATGTGAGAAGAATAATCGACTGCAATTGGTCAATTTCTTACTCTTACAACCTAATCCACTACTGCTACTGCCATTGTAGACCACGCATTAGACTTGGTACAAGCAGTACAGTGAACTCTTGCACTGAGTATCGCTACACCTCGAAAAAGAACAGAGTACATGACGTCATTTCGTTAGTGTATACAAAAAGAACGATATAGTGTACACTTCTTGAACTAGTGCAAGCAGTGCAGAGAAAAAAAAACAAACCTAAGGATGGACATGTCTCTCGAAGAACACCCGGATGGGAATCTGAACACGAACTAGCACGATTATAGGTTTGTTCGCGTCGCATGCTCCAACATGCTCCAACATGCATGTACTTTCAAAGAGTCTTCTATAAGGTATTGTGTAAAGCCTTGTGTCCACGATGCTAGAAATCGGTCCGAGATCTCGGATGAAGAAAGAATTGACCAATCGCAATGGTCAGGTGATCAAATTGTTCAAATGTGATTTGTTAATTTTTTCTCTGTCCGAGATCTCGGACCGATTTCTAGCATCGTGGACACAAGGCTTAAGGTTGTATTAGACGTAATGTTACAATTCTGGAAATATGTACCTAAGTCTACTTAGAAATAAAACTATCTATGCTAAGCGATCTACACTTGTAATGTCAATATGTAATGAACAAGGTTCCAAGTCTAATCATTTGTTTTTCTTCATCCTAATATTAGTAATCAAGGCCCTAAAAGTTCAGGAAATCAATTCGTGTCATATAAAAACTTATAATATATTTTTCAATTGATAAGACTTTCAGAATACAATGTATACTTTATTTATTGATGTAATTATTTCTCACACAAGTAAACAGAGTAGCTTTTAATTAATGAACGAAGTACATTGCAATATTAGAAGCGAAGATTTTGCATTTGAATAAAATTATGATGAAGAATAAGCTTCCCTGTTTACAGTCTCTATTTTTTTGCTATATACAGAACGTAACTAAAATAAGATAACAAACTTCGAGGCTAAGTTTCCCACATTAAACATGAAAAACAGTAAATTAAATAGGAGATATTTCAAATGTTTGTCATAATTAAAATTTGAAATTAAATAATATTACACAATAAATACAATATTACCGTTTAATTTTCCCCTATCAATAAACATTTTGAATTGTATCTCAGTAACAATGAGTTTACGGACATATGTTCATATAAACTTTTTTTACGTGCTTATAAGATAGAACGACCCATAATTCCGAAAACGATTGCGGCGCGGAAGAATTGGACCAAGTTCGGCGATTCTGCCGATGACAGGCCAGGACCAAATCCTGCCAAATAAAGTTTTCGAATATACACTCCGAAATAGACATAGATTCGAAATGAAATATTTTGTACATGTATGTATTGCCTACTCTTCGTCGGGGCTCTCCATAGCTATTTGTTGCAAACGGTTCGTATCCCGAGTTTTTACTAGACTTCAATCGATGATGTTTAAGAAATGAAATAGTAGCTTGAAGGCGCAGATTCCTAAGATGTGAGCGAGATTTAAATTTGCTAACTACAGTTAAATAATACGTACCTAGGTACCCCCCACGTGTACCTAACGATTGTTTACACAGAGTTTTATATATGTATGAAAAAAAAGCTCGATGTAACATAGTTTAGACAACATATTATATTTGTATCTTTGAAGTTTAAGCTAAACTGCGGAAATGACAGACAGTAAGAATGAAAATGACGGTCTTGACAGGAGTAGGATACAGAGTGAGAATTAAAACGTCAAAGTATATTTTATGTAACTTAGGTTTTTTATCAAGAGAGCAAAAAAAAATATTTTTTATTTATCCTCTTTATTTTTATATACAACGTCGCTACTATACCGAAAATAATCTCTCGTCCTATATAATAATGATTAATCGGACGAGAGATTTCTAATGGCGATTGAAGTAGATACTGTTACGCGAGTTGATAAAGTACTTCTGGCGCAATAGCAGAGAGGTGAATAAGAAATTTATCAGATTATATAGCTAAGTTTACATAAAAGAAAATAGGAAAAATCGTAATAGACGTTAATTCCACCACTGTCGGTAGTGAGGATGTATTTATGCAATTCATATCTAACAAAGAGGAAGGAAACAAAGTTGAGGAAGACTCCTTGGACAAATTAAAAGGCATGGGCGACAGGGGAATCGTCAAGTACCGTAATTGTAACGGCGATCACTCGACGTTCAAGTGTCCGTACAAAGACACTGTTTTTGTTGGTGGTAAGTTATATCGGTGGTGAGGACGTGTTCATGCAATTCATATTCAGCAAAGAGACGTTGTTTATGCAATTTTGATGTGGGCAAGCCGTCCCTGAAGTTTGTTACCTTATTTTAGTTATACCCAGTATTTACTATATACGGTAAATATATGTACATATATACATATATATTTACATATTTACATACTTACGGGCGTAAATTTTAAAATATAAAATAAAAATAGGATTCGCGGTCTGTATTCTCACATACTGTACATTTAACACTAAATGGAAATTATCAGTTATCGGAAATTATTAAATACGATATTATAATATAATGTCATATTGTAATAATAGAAATAAAAGGATAATATTATTCCAATTGAAAATTTGATTTTCACATTTAGAATTAAATGAGAAATAACGAATACAGGCCACTTGTCTTTCTATTTCTGGTATAAAAATGTACATAGATATATGCACGAACAATTCATTTGTTATAAGGATTACTTCCAGTTGAACTAATTTCACTTTTCTGTCCGTAACTGTCGCAAGCTTTACATCACCTTAATTATTTTGAACTTGTGGCTTTGACCATTCGACGCTCAAGATTAGATGATCGTAACCGTAACCATCCAGGGTTGCGATTGCTCTTGCTGCATCAGCCCTATGTTTGAAATGTACATATGCGAAACCCTTACAGAGATTAGAAAGTTTCTCTTTGGCGAGAAACTGCTTGACTACGGAACCGAATGGCTTCACAAGCTCATCTAGATCGGCATCTGTAGTGCTCTGCGAGAGATTGGAAATACGTATGGCGGTTGTATCGTCGCGTCTCTGCATCTGCATCGAGTCTCCACGTTTGCTGCCACCGTCACGCATACCAGGCGGTACGTACTTGCCACCCTGCGGCTTAAGTTCAGCCATTGCACCAGGTACTCCAGTACTAACGAGAGGTTTCTTGTCATCTGGTACTTTTCCTGAAAGACAGAATTTTATAGTTATATAATTATTACAGTTATATTTTACAAAAATAACATATTTTATATCATTTATTTCTATAATTAAAAAATAAATAAAATTGTATTTATATTTTTATTTATGTTTATATAACTGTGAATGTGGCGATCATGGCGTAAGGTGGCTGTTTTCTATGCCAAAGATCTGAGTTCAAATCCACCAAGAACACACATATATCAGATTTTATTTGAGTATCACTTCTCCGAAGGCAATAATGAGCCATCGAGAGTATCTTTGTCAATTTTGTCATGACAACCTCTTCTGAGGCCATTAGGAACCGGCGTTAAAAACTAGTCTCATATATGAATGCCTGTGCAGAAGCGATTATCACATCTCTGACGAGGGACTATGGATTTAAGAGATATAACTGAATTTTAGCTCGTATTTGTATCAATTGATTTCTGACAATATAACTTACCACCAGCAAGAACAGTGTCTCTGTATGGACACTTGGACGTCCAGTGGTCGCCGTTACAATTACGACACTTGACGACTCCCTTGTCGCCCATACTTTTTAACTTATCCAAGGAGTCTTCCTCCACTTTGTTGTCCTCCTCCTTGCTGGATATAAACTGTATGAATATATCTTCGCCACCGACAGTGGTGGCTGGATTTGGACCTGGTCTGTCGTCGGCAGAATCGCCGAACTTGGTCCAATTCTTGCGCGCCGCAATCGTTTTCGAAACTATGCGTCGCTCTATCTTGTAAGCACGTACAACCTTGATTTTTTTATTGTCTTCATTGTACTTGTACTCGGTGAGAATTTTGAAACCATTCTCGTAGACTTCCGTAGGTAGGGGTAACGCTCCTCCCTCTTCTTCAACTTCATCAGCCCAGCTAGATTTGACTTCATTTTGTGCAACTGGCATCTCTGCAAGTTATACAATATTATGCAACATTTAGATACGTACGAATACTAGTTTAAAATGTATAAAAAGTATTATGCAACATGTGTAAACATCAAGTTTCAGAATATTAAGGCAATTATTTGATTATCCATAAATATACTGTATTTAAACATATTTTATTTCGTTTATTTATCTGTAGAGTTATAAAGTTAAAATCCTTATTTCAGATATTTATTATTCTTATCAGGATAAAATTCTGTTTATAATTTTACATGATATTAAAAAGAAAAACATTTAAAAAATCAGAATGTACATAAATATAAAATATAAAAAACATAAACACATATATATTAAACATAGTATATAAATTATAAATAGAATTTTGTATCCTAAAATCTGACAGTGAATTATAAATCTTTGGTAAAGGAAAAGTTTAGGCCGATCCCCTCAAAAATCGATAAAATTATATTCATTCGGCGCGTTTTTGCATAAAACGAAAGAATTTGGCAGAAAAAAGCGTCGCTCTGCTAACAAAAATGACTTTTTGTGTTTGTAGACAGTACTTTTGAGTTTTTAAAGCAGCGACTCTTTGTGTTTTTAGACAATACTTTCGTGTTTTCTCAAAGCAGTGACTCTTCGTGTTTTTAAAGCAATGACTCTTTGTGTTTTTAGACAGTACTTTTGTGTTTTGAAGCACATCTGATAACATCATTGTTAAATGCTAATAGTTATTGCACAAGTACTACACAGTATAAAACAAATGAACTTTTCAAATTTCGCGTTATTTTCTTTTTCGAGCGCATACTTCTGAAAACGCATGCGCGTGCCACAGAGTATGAAAATGTGACCGCAGCGCATGCTCGGTCGCAGTGTTACGTGACCATGATAAATATCCTAATCTGA